TTCCAAAACCAGCTCATTTGAATTAATTGATACACTCTTCTTCTCAAGATGAGGCTCCATTCATCTGAAGCTTCATATCAACAGGAGGTGTTGCATCTGGCTCTTGCTCCTGCTGATTACTACCATTGTTGGAACCATCATCAGATGAGCTATTATCATTGTAGATACCAATGATCTTCTTGCAGCAGAAACAGCATCATCTTTTCCCTTCAGTTTGTACTTCATCTGATTATGGAATGCATAACACAAGGTGCAGATATACTTAGCAGCTTTCCAAAGACAGAGCTTTGGAAAGAACTGCTGAATGCCAGCAACCAAGAACAAAATGGCAACAAATCTTTCACCTCTCTCTTGATGTACTGATTATTAACTGTTGCTTGGTAATCTCTGTTTGATTCATTCACAAAGCGTTGATACATTCCTTGCTCTAGAAAGTAAGTTGGAAGGAATGTTACTCCATCCTCTCTGTCACCAAGACTGCAGCCAGTAGCATGACTGACAATTCCATTTGATTGTGGCTCTGACAATAGTTTCAGCTGTTCAAAATATTGAACAAGGTCATCCCTTACCTTCTTGTCAAACTTCTGACCTTGGGGAGATCTTTGATTGTAATTGCCATGTAATGGCATTCTATTTGTGTTAGTCTAACAGTATCCTGGTATTGCTTCCACTGCTGAGGATGCTTTCCAACAGCAAGCACATATCTCAAAGCTGAACAGCAGTCTTTAGTATCTTTGAGGTCCTCTGCACCACTAGCAACAACACCAGCAGCACCATGTGTTTTTTCAATCACATCTTCCTCCTCCCTGACTAAATTGAGGAAGGGGAGGAAAAATCTTCTGCAATCATATTTTCGTGCTCAGTGTAGCAGCAAATCTACTAGTAATCCATCACTATCCTATGCCTAATCTTGCTGTCTTGTCTAAAGAAGTACATCATGCAGTGTGCTACTGCTTCTCTATTGTTTTTCTTGTCTGGTGTACTACTACTAGTAGTAGGCCCCCATGCCAAGAATACATGGAGACACAGCCCAGCATGCACTTTGAAAAGTTGCTACCTCGTCCCCTATCTTGACTGTTCCATCTGATGCAGAAAGGAGAAGCACATTCAAGGTGCACCTTCTTGTACATTTCAATCTTCTCTTCATAACAAATATCCTTGAAGCGTGTTTGTCGAAAATACTTCTTCTTCTTGTATGCTGGATACTGAATAGAGAGGAGGAGGAGTGACAGGGACGACGACGAGGCATCACCGACTTTTTCCATTCCTCTTCCTCCTCCACCAGCAGTATCGCTTCTTCCTTTGTCCCCTCCAGTATTGTCAATTGTCTCCTCTCCTTTTCTAGTAGTATCAATTTGTCCTCCAGTGACAATTTGCTTGTTGTTCTTGTCGTTTTAGTAGTCATAGTGGGGTCAGTAGTAGGCAGGGGGGACGTTTCAAGAATCCCAGTCTTAATTATTTTGACCCCTGTACCGTACGTACCGAGCTACGGGGGGAAATGAAATTGTAATCAAATCGACTGAGTCAAATTGTCACTTCGTTTCACTGTGACAACATCGTGYCACCAACCAAAAAATCATTGATGAGTGACTCCGTCTTCTACAGTAAACTCAAAACAAAAACATGGACAAGGAAAACGTTTTTTGCCATGATAGTTGTCAGAGGTAACATTACGTCTCGATTGTTACTCGTACCTCCGGTGGAACGGATTCGTCACACTKCAGTTCGTGACAATTTTTCGAATTGATCGGAACGGATATTCTCATTTGAACGTTGTGGGTTTTCCAGAAGATGAAAATCACTRCATCAGTGGCGGGATTGACGATTTCAACCCTTTCGTCGTCCATTGGGATACCACTCGTCTTCCTTCTTAGTTGCTCGGTAGTCGATGCAGGATCTCCCTATCCTTCGTCCACCCAGATTCACTCATTCGATGCTACCCGTCGTTGCTCGAAGATAATACGAAAGAATACTTCTGGCATTTTCAATGGTGGCATAAATTACGAAGGCAACTCACTGAATCGTCTAMAGCAACCCGAGCGGAAAAAATCTTCCCAAATCGAGATTCTACATCGACTAAGGGGAGGTGATACTCCTCCTTGCAAGGTTGGTTTACTGATTGAAATATTGGACATATGCGGTACAGCAGTGTTCGCTTTCTCCGGGGCTTTGAAGGCGGGGAGAAAAGGGATGGATATAATCGGAATGATGATCATCGCCTCGATAACAAGTATGGGCGGAGGGACTTTACGTGATGTTCTTATGGTTGGAAGTCACGAAGAACATGTGGTGTTTTGGATGAAAACTCCGCTTTATCTCGAAATCAGCCTGCTTACGGCATTGCTCACCTTTTATTCTTGGCCTGTAATCGAAAAAAGGTTTGGATTGGATGCGGATTCGGCTGCTCCTATTTGCACAGCGGGTAGGTGCTTCATTGCCCCATCACCGAGCGCCACTATCACTGAAAATTTTGATCGTGCTTCTAGATTGTTTTAAGGTGTCGATTGATCCCTTCATCTCACTCATCCTCCTTTYGTTCGACGTTGTCAATGTTCCACTCGATTTTCATCAGATGCACTGGGATTAGCAGCGTTTTGTATCGTCGGTGTTGAATCAGCTGCGAAAAAAAAWTTGGCTCCAACACTGTGGATTGTTTCGGGTCTCATGACCGCGACCTTTGGAGGTATCATCCGAGATGTCATTTGTGGAGAAAAGCCCCGGGTGATGTATCCACATAGAACATTATACGCGTTGGGTCCTACGTTGGGTGCGCTCACGTACACGATTTTGAATCACCTTCTGAAAACACAGTCATGGCCATTGAATTCCTCATCCATTACGCTTGTTTCGTTTTTGGTTGCATTCTTGGTAAGAATTGCTTCATTTAACARGCCTTGGCGGATGCCCCACTGGGATGTAAAGCAGGGTAAACATTGACAGACGAAGGAACCACCTCGAGTAGAAATTAAAAACATCTAATTTGGAGACGGTGTTCGCTATGGTACCATTGAACAACAATTCTAGATTACTATGAATTTCATGGTGTATAAAAAGTGTTCCTCGTAATAATCTGATATAGCCAACCAACAAGTTGCCATAAGGAATATGGCGACAAGTATTTCCGTAACAACCAGTTTTTCCTCTTTAATCTACAATGATTTTGTAAAAATGGGAAAAATGGCAGATCTAAACCGCAACCGAGACCTCTTTCAAAACTCCCACAAAGTGCGTGACGTTGCCGGTCTCTTTGTCATAGAGCGGCCCAACGCTCAGCCGATTTCGAAACTTTCGTCCATCTTTGGTATAATTTGTTAGCACCGTTGTTGCTTCCTCTCCGTGGACGAAAAGCTGGTGGATCAGTGCCGTCACGGCGCACTGATCGGTTTCTTCTCCTCCCAGGAGATCGCCTAGGCTCTTTCCCTTCGATTCGGCATATGTGTATCCACACAATCCCACCCAAGCAGAATTCACGTCAAAGACTCGAAATGGCTTATTGGTTTCCGTAATTACAATCGCTTCGGAACTTGGAAGGAGGGCATCCTTCAAGGTGCGAGGCAAACGGGTTTGCTGCYGTCGGCGTTGTTCCGGGTACGTTGAAGTYGATAACAGTGGAGATTTACTGATACGAAGCTGTGCAGATTCGCGCTCGTTGAGAGACCTAGTCAACGACGGAAATTGGACASAACCTTCGTTTAGAGATGAAGCGAACGAGAGAGAGTATGCCATATCATCGCTGAATGAATCTYCTTCATTCACAYCCTCTCCGTAAATTTGCTCATTTGCGATCATGCGCTCATTTAGCACTTGCTTTTGACTAATTCGAATCTGTTCCTTTTCTCTTTCACTCAACGAACGAGTCAGTGGTGGGAATCCGGATTTATTGGACATGTTCGCCATTGCAAGAGAATAGGCAACGGAATCCCGCACATCGGACTCTTCTTGAATACTTCGCAACAGTGACGCGTGATCTTGCAGTTGCTGTTCGGCGCTACTGTTATTYCTTCGTTGCTGTCGTTGTTGACGTTGATGTTGCTGCAGATCCTGTTCTCCTGGTATTGCMGTAGACGCRCTGTCTGTGCGAAAGAATCTTCGCTGGTCCTGTGTAGTAGATTGGTTGAACAAAACCGATGATGTGAGTTTTYAGCACATTGGGATAAATAAACAATGGTCGTAACCAAGGGACGATTGCAGACATTTCTTGGTCAACGAWTTSGACATGGATACATGWWTTYTTCGAATGAATCGTTTCTACTTTGCACGTACAGCGAAARTTGAGTTTGCCACTGCTCGTCGTCCGGCTCCCCCACCACAATTAGCGATTGCGGCATTACCATGAGCGAATAGTCGTTGTTGAAGCAYAGTTTCAATACTTTTGCTTYTTGACGAAGCCATGASTCGCTGCTTACTAACGGCGATCGATCGAATCATCTTTATTTCTTTATTTTATAGTGCAATCAATGAATTGTTCCTCGCTAGGATAGGAGTCAACGGTGCCGTTGCTTACAGAACAATTGGAATCCTTTTTTCAGTTTATCGATGGTTTGTTTGGCTTTCAGTTGATTTTTTGATGTTGATTGCTGCTGAGATTGGATCCGAGGCCAGAGGACTGTTGAAGAGTGACACGATCCAAGATCGAACAGTAATAGTGATGGAAAGTTACACTTGTTCTCTGGACCTTTCAGGAGCAGAACGCTATTTTGGGTACGAAGACATCACCCTTGTGCGTGCACATATCGTTTGTAATGAGACGGCGACTGAGCTGGAAAAAGAATGATTTGTTTTTAAATTAAGTACGATGATCGCAAGGAATAGTTTATTCGGTTCTCTTCACATTCGTTCTGACGCAGGGATAAAGAATGATTTGTTTTTAAATTAAGTACGATGATCGCAAGGAATAGTTTATTCGGTTCTCTTCACATTCGTTCTGACGCAGGGATATCAGAGACACAGCGACCTGAAAATTACAGATGGCAACTCACGAAGACATTTCTCCTCAAAAACTTCTGCAGGAAGTTCCACGACTCGTATCGGAATTCGATCGGAAATTAGTCTTTATTCTTTCACTTAGTTTTTTTTAAAAAACGTACTTAAAGCATTCTACTTCTACTAGTAGTAGTATTTAAGTATTCTCTACGTACTCGTGCTTTGTTCAGCCAAGAGCATCTCATCACGAACACCAGGTGCTCTGTCTTGGAATAAGACAATCAAAATAATTTGTTGCATTTGTGAAGTGCAAATGAGACCAGCCAAAACAATTCCTTTCATCTGGTAAATACTACTACTACTAGTAGTAGTAGCTAGTAGTACTACTAGTATGGTGGAAGACATTCTTCTGCTGGGGGCAGTGCTGGCACCACCAGTGGGGGGAACTTCTTCTTCCTCCTCCACCACCACCACCAGTTGATCCCAACATTGTCTGCCTCTCAAAAGTTAAGAGAACCAAGAAATCCCCCCACGAAAAAAATTGTCATTGTCATCATCAGTCATTCCAAAATTTAAGAGAATCAAATTCCTACTACCAAGAATTCTAACAACAGTCATTCTTGTCAGCATCATCAGTCATTCTTGTCATCAACAGTCATTCTTGTCAGCATCAGTCATTCCAAAATTTAAGTTGTTGTTGTTGTTGTTGTTGTTGTTGTTGTTGTTGTTGTTGTTGTTGTTGTTGTTGTTGTTGTTGTTGTTGTTGTTGTTGTTGTTGTTGTTGAAGTTCTTTTTGAAGTTCTTGTTGAAGTTCTTGTTGAAGTTCTTGTTGAAGTTCTTGTTGAAGTTCTTGTTGAAGTTCTTGTGGAAGTTCTTGCGGAAGTTCTTGTGGAAGTTCTTGTGAAAGTTCTTGTGGAACAGTCATTATTATCATCAGTCACCATTTCAAGACTTAACAAGAGAACCAATTCTCCCTAAGAAGAAGAATCAACAACAAAAGCAGTCATTTTAGTAATCAGTATGTATGTAGTTCTGAAATGAAAGAGAACCAAAATCCTACCACCAATCAAGAAGATCAGACATTGTTACAATCGGTCGTTCAGACATAACTAAAGAGAACCCAAGAATACTTCTAGAAGAGGAATCCTCAGTCATAAGTGCAAACAGTCAGTCCAATAAAAATGAGAGCCAATTCCCTCCAAGAATAGCACTACTTGTTGAATGTTCAGTCATCAGTACTATTGTTATTGATCATTCCAAAATTTAAGAGAACCCAATTCCTCCCATGACTTGCTGGCTATTCAGTCACTACTATAATTGTTCATTCCAACACTACTAGTAAAGATAGTAACACAATCCCTCTCAATACTTAGTAGTAGTAGTAGTAGTAGTAGTAGTAGTAGTAGTAGTAGTAGTAGTAGAATATTTAGTATTTAGTCATTAGCATCACCATTCGTACTAATTCCAAAATTAAAGAGGATCAATTCCTTGTCAGCAGCTCCTCAAAAGTTGAAAGAGCACCCTGCCTGGTGGGTGGTCCCATTGCACCCAATGGATTTGGCTATGGCTATGATGGGCACAGTGCAACAACCTACTAGACTGAGAACAAAGACAGTGCTGATGCCTTGTTGGACAAGTTTGAGTCATAGTACTACAAGAAATACTACCAGTTCCTCTCAAAGTTGGGGAGCAGCAATGCAGAGCATAGTAAGGTCAATGAAAACAACAAAGGCCTCCATGACAACATGTTGGCAGCTGTCAATCTTGCTTATGGGACAACTAGTAGTACACCAATGATGAGTCATTGACATTATTGGTGGTCATTCCATAATCAAACTGGTTATTTGTAGATGAAAGAGACTCCCACTCCAAAGATATSATAAATCCAGTCACAAGCCATACTACAACMATCAAAACAGAAGTGAAAAGAAAACAAGAGGACTAGTAGTGAAAAAAATATGAGCATTACACCATGTTAATCTTAATCACATTTTTAAAAACTAAAAAATATTTAACAAAGTGGACTAGCAGAGGTGTTAGGGGAACTAGAACCATTACTTGTCCTTGTTTGGAGAAGGAGTTTGCTTCTAGTTGTAGTTGCTGTGAGGTAAAGTACTTCTGGAGGAGCACAACTGGCATAGTAGTAGTAAAGATGTACTGGTACTTCTAAGGTATGCTGGAATAACTTAAAGTTTTGTTGTCTCTTTTTGGAGTATGTATCAAAGACCAGTATATCTTGAGTGAAGTTATCCAGTGGTTGTTTACTAGAGGGAAGTGCTAACAAGCAATGAAATTGGTATTGGTT